GAAACTGGAATAAGCTGCTGCAGTGATCTAGACCAGATGGCTTGACACGGACCTTGGCATCATGTCTTTCTCATAGTCATACAATACGTGTGAAGCGCTCCCGCGGCTGAGCACCCAGCATGCCGATGATTTTAGGTCATAACTATGTTACTTGTACATGTAGCTTCACTATCACTCTCATGTCACACTCACCTTGATTTGAACTCCGAGTCACTGGTTGGCACCGCTCTTCTCTGAATATCTGTTAATGCACTTCCCCAAATGTCATACCAACAAAGGTCCTCTTGAAAGAGGGTCTGGTAGCCCCACTTCTGGAAGGTCCCATACAACACCTCCACGCCTAAAGGAGCCTTTGTGTTCTCTCCTGAGGCACTGATTTCATTGTCATCTGTAAATAAAATTTAAAATTACTCCTTCCCTTCCACATAGTTTTCTACATTACTTTGTAATGATCATCCTTTAAAGTTGCACAGGCTCCAAGTTCCTGCGAATTCCACTCTGCTCCCTCATTACCAGTGCTACATGTAAAGATAACAGTTTGACAATGGATATCGTCTGACCAAATTTGTAATTATACTTAATGTCCAAACAAATCAGTAAATTATGTCTGGCGAAAACAGAGGTTTAAAAGCCGCTGCATCATAAAAATTATTTCCAGCACTGAATTACACAACATTATTCCAGGGAAAGGACTGGACAATGACAAAAAATATAAGCTACAGAACACACTGAACCCACCTTTGAGAACACCAGAAAAGAATGGCCTCAAGTTTTCGAATGTCTGTTGACCAATACTCTGGTCGAGTTCAAAATCTAGGGCGGAGGCCTTGATATTTGGATCCTCCCTAATCTTGCGAAGTGCCCCTATTGCTCTTGGAAGGGTTCGATAAAAATGCGGTCTGGATATAGAGTCAAGCATAATCACATTGATATTGATACTACTTCTGCTCTTACCATCCTCAACTTTCTTGAAAGTTGGTGGAAAGGTAAGCGCTTGGAAATTACTTCCACATCTTAAGAAAAGAAAACTAAAACCCCTTTCCAGGTTTGTTTTGATGGCCTCCTGCACTTTAGCAGTGATTGTGTCCTTTGGTAATGGCTTCCAGTCACTGACAGATTTACCCAGTTCTGGATTGACGGAAGCAATTTGGATATCTGATGACCCACAAACTTTGGCGTCGCATGACAGTTTATCATCTCTTGACTCTGTTACTTGAAACGAACAGATATCTGGGTAATGAGTCTCGTCACATTTCCGATCCTCAACACGTCCTGGCTGTCCATAATGTTGAAGAATTACCTTAATACCAGCTTTTTCTGGCCTGAAAGAGAATTTGATGATAAATTAATGGAAATATTGCACACTTACCTAACACTTTGAGATGAAGTTTGTCCCAGGATTAGAATCGTTCCATTATAAAGTTGGTCTTAAAAGGTAATTTAATACCTGTGTGCTAACAACTTTACTTTAATTAATCTACAGTGTACATGCAAGATAAATTTTATGGACCACTTAATAAACAAGTTTACGAAAGTCACTGGGTATGAACCAAGAGCCATTCTTGTGAAGCAATGTTCAATATCACTAAATGAATATACTGAGCTACAACAGGGCTGTGCTCTAGAAGGGCCTGGGTGCCACAAGCAACTAACTTTTACCTTTGGGTGACTGGAAAAACTCACATTTTTCATATAAGCTTAAGTACTGGGCACCCAGGATTTCATGGTTAAGAACCTTTGGGCTCCCAGTAATTTTTCTTAGACTACAGGACCAAGAACCTGTAGCTGGACTGAAATGTAAACTTCACCTGTACATACCTGTGAGGAATACATTTAACTGTTTCATTGATACTAGAGCTATTCTGAGTGAAAACTGTATTCTGTTGACCAAGACTCTGCTGTTGAAGGAGAGGGCTTTCGTTTCCTCCTGAAACAAAAGTGACTTCACGCTATTCATTATGAATACAGAAAGAACAGTAATATTATTGAAGTTTTTAACAGATGATAAAACTCCTGGTCATTATGATTAAGGTTAAGAAAATCATAAATTATGTTTGTATGTGGATGGGACCATGACAAGGTGTTTGTTTAAATGGGAGATGTTCAACTGTGGTTTATATTTCTTGTGCATTCCCTTTGACAGTTGAATGAAGGCAAAGAGGCCTACTGGTTAGCGTGCAGGACTCCACATCGGGCACTCCAGGTTCAAACCCTGGTCAGAGTCAGTGTCACAGTCAGTGTAAAAGGTGTTAAGAGTCAAATGTGTTATGTTCTTGGGTAAGACACTTTACTGTCAGAGTGCCTCTTTCCACCTAGGTGTAGAAAAATGGGTGCAGCAAGATAAACGCAAGGTGGTAACACTGCAAAGGACTAGCATCTCATTCAGGGGGGGGGGG